GTTGCCTGGGTGTTTGCTTCCTAGCATGCGTTCTATACAGAACATGTCTTCAAGGAATTTTTCGCGCAGTAATTTTTTGCATTTTATATCAGAGTTCAATTCAATCTCCATACTGTGCAGTTCATTGCCTTGATGTCCTAAGCACAAGAAATAAAGCAGAATTTCGTTCCTGTTTGCACTTTCACAAGGCATCCTGCCTCCTCCTACTTCTTCCCAGTTAAAATGAACTGCAGAGGAAGAATTGATGAGATTCACCATGGATTAAACATATCAGCTTGTCCTGCTCAGCTTCTCATATATTATAGATTACCAGCATCAAAGCGGGGTTGGTGAAAGACACTCCACACATCTGAATCCAAGCTATGCCATCACTAAGTTTGTGACTTTGGACAATTAGTTAATCTCCCTGAGTCTTGGTTTCCTCATTTAAAAGATGTAAATCCTAAGAAAACATCTACGTGATGTATGATGATGGTCGAATATTATAGAAAGGATGCTTAGTGCCTGGTGCGTAATTAGTGCTCAACAAATAGCTATCATTGATGTTGTAATGATAACGATATCACTCCTGTTAAGTGAAAGGAAAATATGATTTTCAAAATTTTCAAAATAAGATTCAAAGAAGTTAAAGAATTCACCCATAACCCTATAATAAATGGCAGAACCAATACTCAAACATAGATCCCTGAATCCCAGCCTCCTGTCGTGTGTGCCAATGTAAAATATACAAGTAACGCCTTGATTTAGGATTTGATTCCCAAAGCCCTACTACTCTACAGAGTCAATGCTGTTACTCTATTTCAAGCTTCACACAGGTGCTCAGAAATCTGGCACTGGGCCTGCACATTCTGATTTCTTCTCCTAAATCCTCAGAGGTCCTGAAAATGTGAATATATCTATGAACACAGCTAACTCTACTTTTTGACAGTCACTCACCAAAAAATTCTTTATTCTTTAACCAGGTGTAGATCAAGCAGTCTTTAACTTCATTCTTCATGAGAGTCGGCAACTGAAAACTCTTGGGGGAGAAGGTGAGGGGTGCAGACAACTTTATCAGCATAAGGTCACTTTTAGAAGAAGTGACAGTAAAGTTTGGATGAATAAAGATCTTCTCATAAGGTAGAATCTCCCCCCAAAAGTCTCGAAAACTTTGAGAACCACCACGAAAGATGATCTGGAGATCTCTGGAAAATGAAAAAAAGAAGAAAAAAATTGATACTATCACACATTACAAGCCTAATCTCTCTCTCTCTCTCTCTCTCTCTCTCTCTCTCTCTCTCTTCCCTGCTCTCTCTCTCTCACACACACACACACACACACACACACACATTCACGCTTTCCTTCTAGAACAATCCACTTAATCTCTCCTCTCATCTGTGTCCGTTTGATCTTTTATGCGTAGCTACCACTGGTGGTCATGTAGGTTATGCACTATATAAATTCAATAGGGATCATTCACCTAGCCTATACAGTGAATGGTGCCTCCAAGAGATAAGCAGTGTAATAGCTTGGGCTCTACTCTTACAGATACCAAATAAAATAACCTGAAAGTATCTCTTTAAAAAACAAAAACTAATAAACTTATGGGACAATTGTGACCATTCTACTAATGCAGAGGAATATCTCAACAAAATTCTCTTAACTATTGATATCGAGCAAAAAAAAATTAATAAGACTACAGGAGATTTGAACTACACAATTAAAAAGTTGGATACATGTAACACATAGAGAACCTCCCACCCTAAGATTAGATAGTACACATTCTTCCAAACATACAAGGAAGATTTATAAAAATTGACTCCATACTGGTTCAAAAAGTAAGCCTCAACTATTTTCAAAAAATTGGTACCATATAGATCACATTCTCTGACCACAACACAATTAAATTAGAACTCAAAAGATTTTTTATTGGGAAAGTTACCCCCGAAATTTACTGCCCCCCATAAAAAATCTAATGGAATTAAATGAAAAATTTAATCTTATGGAAATTTTAAAAATTGTTTAGAATGTAAACAATAATAATGGCCCATTCCAAAGATGTTAGATAGAAAACCCACAGGAACATTTATATATATGTATATATAAATTATTAGAACTAACAAGAGAATATAGCAAAGCAACAAGCTATAAGATCAATTTATGAGTACCAATTGCATTTCCATCACCAATAAACAGAAAAGATAATTTTATGAAAGGACATTAATTAAAATGTAATAAAAAAATATAAAGCACTTTAGGAATAAATTTAATAAGATACGTGCAAGACGTGTATGCAAATAATATAAAACTCTTAAAATATGTCAAAGAGAAACTTAATAATTGAGCAACATTGCAGATCCATGGCTGGGAATAATCAATATCGGGAAAATATCAATTGTTCCCAACTGGTATAAAGAGGCAAAGCAATTCCAAATAAATACCAACAGTTTTTAATAGAACTTGACAAGCTGATTTTTAAATTTATGTAAAGGATACCTAAGTGTTGCTGATTTAGAATAAAATGGCGGACTTACCCTATCGGACACCACAAATTATGATAAAATCATCATTATTAAGAATTTTATTATTGTGGTACTGGTCCATAATAAATAAAACAATGAAACAGCATATAGAGCCTAGAAACAAACCCATGTACAGATGAAACTTTGATAGATGACGGATGTGATATTGCAGATCACTGGGGAAAGAAGAAACCATTAGATAAACGATACTTAGATATTCTTCTTACTATGCTAAAAGAGTGAAACTGGATCCCTATTTCATATCATTTGCAAAAGTCAATTCCAAATGATATAAATATTTAAACATGAAAATCAAAGCTTTAAAATCCATAGATGTAAATTAAAATATATATATTTCAGATCTTAAGGTCATAAAGAATAGTGTCAATTAGGCACAATACACAATAACCACAAATAAAGATTGATAATTCAAGTGTTAAACTGAATTATATCAAAGTTAAGACTCTTATTCATCAAAATGCACCATAAAGAGAAGATCAAGCCACAAACTGGAAGAAGATATTTTTGACATATATTACTGGCAAAAGAGAAATATCTAGAGCATTTGTAGAAGTTCTACAAAGCAAGTTTTTAAACATTCAATACACAAAATGTTCAAGACATGAAAGAGTATTTCCCAAAAGAAACATTATTGGCAGAAGGAGGAGAAGGAGAAAGGAGAGGGGGAAATAAGATGCTAATCATCACTAATAATAAAGATAATAAAATTAAGTGCAAAATAAGATATTTGACAACCAGCCAAAAAATAAAAAAGTTGAACAATACCCAATGTTGGAAGAACACTTATAAATCGCTGGAGGATGTATAAAAGTGAACATGTGCATCCTCTAGGATCCAGTAATTCCACGCCTAATTATAGCAGTCTCCTTATCTGTGGGAGATACGTTCCAAGACCTCTCAGTGGATGACTGAAACCGTGGATAATACCAAACCCTATATATGCCATGTTTTTCCCTATATTTACATATCTATTGTAAAGTTTAATTGATAAATTAGGCACACTAAGAGATTAACAACAATAACTAATAATAAAATAGAACAATTATAACAATATACTGTAATAAAAGTTATGTGAATATGAGGTATCTCTCTCCCTCTCAAAATTTGTTATTGGACAATAGTCACCCTGCTTCTTGTGAAGATATGAGATGATAAAATGCCTATTAAGTTGAGGATTTTCACCTTTTCATTTAAAGGAAGCACTTTATGGCTCCTCTTTGGCACATCCAAATTGCCAGTGCTGCTACTCTTGTGGTTTGGGGCCATTATTTAGTAAAATGAAGGTTACTTGAACATAAGCACTGTGATACTGGTGACGGTTGATCTGATAACCCAGATGGCTAAGTGACTAATGGGCAGGGAGTATATACAGCGTGGATATGCAGGACAGAATGTGAAGATGTGAGATTGTATCATGCTCCTCAAAATGGATGTGCAATTTGAAACTTATGAATGTTTATTTCTGAAATTTTCCATTTGATATTTTTGGATCATGGGTGACTGCAAGTAACTGAAACTGTGGAAAGCAAAACCATAGATAAGTGGGGACTACTGTATATACCCTAGAGTTATATACTATGAGGTATACTTGCAGATATACACCAACCGGTATATACACTAACACATATAAATATTGCAAATATATGCACAAGAATACTCTCCAAGGTACATGGTACAAATATGTTCAAAATAGTAGAAAACTAGAAATAACTCGAATGTCTGTAAAAAATGAACAAATTGTGTGACATTTGCACTGAAATATTATACAGCAATAAAAGATGAAATATGGTCCCACATCTAACACTTTGGATGAATCTTAAAAACATTAAGAATGATTTGCAGGGTTATTTTTACATATATGTATGCTATTATACAACATTATTTTTCATTTCTGGGTATGTTAAAAACAAGGATGTGGAACTTTCCTTAGTCAAGTTTTACCTGAGTAGCTGAGCTCCCCTTCACCATCATAGCCCTAGGATTTCCTGATGAGCATAGTTTCTTTAGAATTCCTACAAAGAGTGTCGAGTCCCAGTCTTGGAACTTTGGAACAGAGTGGACTGATCGCCGTTACTTACGGTAAGAAGCAGTGTGCCGCAGTCAGCACCCACTGAGGGGCGATCAGAGTCCCCACGCAGGGCTCGTAACTAGAATTCAGGTATAATAAGTAGAAAAGATGATGTAAGTCTTCCATGTCATCGCTAACGAATGGAACAACACCTAGAATACAAAGAGAGGAGAATCAAGGGGTTTCCTTTAACCAGCTGATTAAAGGAAACTTGGGAGTGGTTCTGGAGATTTCAAGATGTCACTGTCAGACAATATCAGTATTTACCACATACTAATCGCTCGGCTCCTACTCTATAGCACTAGAGAACCATACTATAAAAGCACTGTACTAAGTTCTTCATATACTTTTTTAAAATGTTTAATTTCAAAACAAAAGAACTGTGGGTGGATAAATTTTATGCTGTTTTACAGATTAAAGATTTAACATTAGGAAATTTCCTTCAGGCCATACATCTAGTGAACGTAGTTGGCTCAAGGATTCGGATTTCAGACTGATTCTAAATTCCAGGAAGGCACTTCTCTACATGACCTCCCTGCTTCTCCTCCACCTGTCTGCTGACACCTTAGCTCATTTTCTGTCTCCCAAAGGCTTATCTGACTATCCAAAGCCACAGCAATGCAGCCTTCCCTACAGCTCCCTAACTTTTCCTACTGGTTGATTACAGGGATGCTTTGAAACTAGTCATCATGACTCCAAAAGAAATGAATTGATTAACTAATTAATTAATTAAAATTAAAACTTTAATTCTGGCATGAGAATGCAGGGAGAGATACATTGTCCAGATGGGCACGTAAATACAGTACAGTACTTATTCTCTGGAAATAGGTGCCTGGATTCAAATTCCGGCTCTATTCTTACTGGTAATATGAACTTAAACAAGTTATGCAATCTCTATACCTTAATTTCTTTATTTGTACTGAGCTCTTCGCTGAACTTCTATCTAAGGGTCATTGTGAGACTTAAATGTGTTAATATATGTAAATTGATTGGAAAAATGTTTGGCATATAACGAGTGTTCAATAATGTCATTTCTTACCAATGCAATTTTAAACAGAATATCCAAGGGCTATGGGACAACCACAAAATATGTAACATATGCATGATGAAACACCAGAAGGTAAGAAAGAAAGAAACAGAAGAATATTTGAGACAATAACGACTAAGAATTCCTCCAAATCAATGGCAGATATCCAACCACGCATCCGAGAAAATCAGAGAACACCAAGCAAGACAAATGCATAAAAACAAACAGCTACATCTAAGCATATCATTTTCAAACTACAGAAAACCAAAGAGAATTTTTGAAATATCCTAAATTGAAGCTAGAGGAAAAAAATACCTTATCTATGGAGGAACAAAGATAAGAATTACATCCAACTTCTCCTCAGAAACCATGCAAACGAGGAGAGAGTGAAGAAAAATATTTAAAGTGTGGAGAGAAAAAAGACACCAACCCAGAATCCTGTACCCTGTGAAATTAACCTTCAAAAGTGAAGGAGAAATAAAGACTTTCTCAGACAAACAAATATTGAGGAATTTGTTACCGGTATATATGACTTGCAAGAAATGTTAAAAATAAGATCTTTAAGAGAAAGAAAATACTATAGGTGACAAGCTCAGATCTACACAAAGAAAAGAAGAGCATCAAAGAAGGAATAAGTGAAGGTAGAAAACTTATTTTTTTCTTAATTGATATGTTTTCTCAAAATATTAATAGCAACAATGCATTCAACTATGCTTGTGCATTAAATATATATATGCATATATATAACTGAAATGGATGACAGCAATGATATAAGGAACAGGAAGGAACAATTAGGATTATTTTGTTTTTATATGGTACACGCACAACCTGTGAACTGGAATAGTGTTATCTGAAAGTGGACTAAGATTTCTTGTAAATGTATATTGCAAAATCTAGGATGAAAAAGAGTTTTTAAAGGGAAGCATAACTGACATACTAAAAAGGGAGAAAAAAATGGAATCATGTAAAATGCTCAATTAAAACCACAAAGGGCAAAAAAGATAAAAATGGTAACATAGAACAAGGGTAACAAGTACAAAACAGTAACAAGTATCGTAAATACTAATCCAACTATATCAATAATTACTTTGAACATCAATGGTCTAAATGCACCAATTAAAAGACAGATTTGTTAGAGTGGATCAAAATATATGACCCAACTATATGTTGTTTATAAGAAATTCACTTTAAATATAAAGACACATGTAGATTAAAAGTAAAATATACCATACTAACAATTAAAAAAAAGCAAGATTAGTTAGCTATATTAACTTCAGACAGAGAAGACTTCAAAGCAAGGAAAGTTATCAGAGATTAACAGGGACATTACATTATGATAAAGGACTCAATTATCCAAAAAGACATAACAATCTTTAATGTACATGTGACTAAAGACAGAGCATCAAACTATGTGAGGCAAAAACTGATAGAATTGCAGAAAGAAATACATAAATCCATTATTATAGTTGGAGACTTCAACACCTTTCTATCAGAAATGGACAGTTCCAGCAGGCAGAAAAATCAGCCAGGACATAGTTTAACTCGACAGCACCTACGATCAACTAGATATAATTGACAATTATAGACTATATGCAAAAATAGCAATATACATTTTTCTCAAGCTCACATCAAATATTCACTAAGACAGAACACATTGTGGACCATACAACGCACAACAAATTTAAAAAAAATAGGAATCATGCAATGACTGCTCTCAGGTCACAGTGAAATTACAATAGAAATCGATAACATAAAGATAGCTGAAAAATCCCAAATATATAAAGACCAAACACCACATTTACAAATAATACATGGTCAAAGAATAAATCTCAAATGAAACTTAAAAATATTTTGAACTAAATGAAAATGAAGACGCAATTTACCAAAATTTGTGGATGTAATGAAAACAGCGTTTAGAGAGAAACTTTTAGCATTGGATGTATATATTAGAAGAGAAAGATCCAAAATCAATAACCTAAGTTTCCTCCTTAGGAAACTAGAAAAAGAATAAAATAAGCTGGAGAAAAGATATAATAATTAGAGCACAAATCAAAGAAATTGAAATAGGAAACAGAAAAATTAATGAGACCAAAAGCTGGTTCTTTGAAGAGATCGGTAAAATCAATAAGCCTCTGGTCAGGATAACCAAGAAAGAAAGAGTACACAAATTACTAATATCAGAAGTGAAAGAGGAGAAATCAGTACAGATCCCACAGACATTAAAAGGACAAGAAAGGAATACTATGAACAACTCTGCCCACAAACACTGTAACTGAGATGAAATGGACCAATTCCATGAAAAACGCAATCTGCTAAAACTCAAGAATAGACAACCTAAACAGGGCAATGTATATTAAAGGCATTGAATCAATAATAACCTTCTAAAATAGAGAGCAATGGGCCCAGATGAATTCACTGGTAAATTCCACCAAAACATGTAAGATAGAAATTATACCAATTCTCTACAATCTCTTTCAGAAAATAGAAGCAGAACTCATTCCATGATGCCAACATTACTCTAATACCAAAAACAAAGACATTACAAGAAAAAAACTACAAACCAGTGTCTCTCACGAAAATAGATGCAAAAATCGTCAACAAAATATTAGCAAATCTAATCTAACAATGTATAACAAAATTATACACCGAGACCAATTAGGATTTATCCTAGGTGTGCAAAACTAGTTCAACATTTGAAAATCAATTAGGAGCTTCTTCTCTACGTTTCCTTCTAGCACTTTCATGGTTTCAGGTCTTATGTTTAAGTCTAATCCATTTTGAGTTAACTTCTGTGAGTGGTTTAAGATAGGGGGCCCAATTTCATGTTTCTGCTTGTGGTTAACACATTTTTCCAACACCATTTGTTGAAAAGACTATCCTTTCACCATTGAGTGGTCTTAGTTCTCTTGTTAAATATTAGTTGACCATATATGCAAGGGTTAATTTCTAGCTCTCTATTCTGTTCCATTGGTCTATATGTTTATTTTAATGCCAGTAACATACTGTTTTAATTACTACAATTTTGTAGAATAGTTTGAAATCAGAAAGTATGATGCCTACAGCTTCTTCTTTCTCAGGATCGCATTGGCTATTTGGAATCTTTTGTCATTCCACGTAAATTTTACAAATTTTTTCCTATTTCTTTGAAAAATTCCATTGGAATTTTGATAGGGATTGCACTGAATCTATAGACGGCTTTGGGTAGTATAAACATTTTAACAATATTGATCTTTTCAAATTCACAAACACGGATATATCTTTCAATTAGTTTGTGTCTTCTTCCATTTCTTTCACCAAAGCCTTGTAGTTTTCATTGTACAGATCTTTCACTTCCTTGGTTAAATTTGTTCTTAAGTATTTTATTGTTTCTGATGCTATTATGAATGAAATACTAGAAAACTCCTACAAGAAAACATAGGGAAAGTTCCCTGACACAGGTCTTGGCAATAATTTTTTGAATATGACACCAACAGCACAAAGAATAAAAGCAAAAATCAGCATGTGGAGATACATCAAACTAAAAAGCTCCTACACAGCAAAAGAAACAATCAACAAAATGAAAATGTAACCTACAGAATGGGAGAAAAATATTTGCAGACATAGGGGGTAAATACCCAAAATACACAAAGAACTCATACAATCCAACAAAAAAACCAAACAACCTAATTTAAAAATGTGCAGAAGAATTAAATAAATATCTTTCCAAAGAAGACATCCAAATGGACGACAAGCATATGAAAAGATACTCAATATCACTAATCATCAGAGAAATACAAATCAAAACCAAAGTGAGATCTCATCTCACACCTATCATCAAGAAAACACAAAAATCCTCCATAAATATTAGGAAATTAAATCCAGCAACATATAAAAAAAGAGTGTACACTATGACTAAGTGGAGCTTATCGCAGGCATGTAACATTTTAAAATCAATCGAGGTAATCCACTACGTCAACAGGTTAAAGGGGAAAATTTATTATGTCAATTAATGCAAGGGATAGGAAGCAGTTGACAAATTTAACATCCACTCCAATATAAACTCTCAGCAAGTTAAAAAAGAGATTAATCGTCTCAATTTGATTTAAAAAAATAATAAAAGCATCTACAAAACCCTACAGTTACCATCATATTCAATGGTGAAAACCTGAATGCTTACCCACTGAGATCTGAAATAAGACAGCACTGTCTACTCCCAACACTCTTACTCAAAATAGTACTGTACATTCTAGTCACTGCAATAAGGCAAGGAAGAAAAGTGAAAGACAAAGTGGCAAGGAAGAAATATAACCATCCCCATTTGTAGGTGACATGATTGTCTACATAGAAAATTCCAAGGAATCTACAAAAAACTCAAAAAACTCCTAGAATACGTGAGTTCAGCAAGATCAACACACAAACATCAATTACACTTCTATATACGAACAATGAATATATGGAACCCAAAATTAAAAATGCAATACTACTTATAATTACTCTGAAAAAAATTAAATAATTATGTATATAGTTAACAAAATATGTACAGAATTTTATGCTAATATTAGAAAACATTGATAAAAGAAATCAAAGAACTAAATAAAAGGAATACGTGCTGTGTTCATCAACTGAAAAACACAACATAGTAAAGATGCTAATTCTCCCCAAAATGATACATACGTTTAATGAAACACCTATCAAAAATCCAGCAAGATTTATTATATTCAGAGAGAAACTTATTGAAAAATTTATAGGAAAAGTCACAGGCTAATACAATCTTTAAAAAGAATAATAAAGTAGAAGAGATCACTCTACCCAATGCTAAGACTTGCATATCTAGTTACAGTATTCGATACAGTGTGGTATTACTTTGACGAGACATGTGTATCCATATGTCCATTGCAGCATTATTTACGATAGCTGATATATGGAGGCAACCTGGGTGTCCATTAATAGGTGAATGGATAAAGAAAAGGTGATGCATATATACAATGGAATATTACTCAGCCATAAAAAAGAATGAGATCTTGCTATCTGCAACAGCATGGTAGACCCAGAGGGTATTGTGCTGAGTGGAGTAAGTCAGACAGAGAAAGATGAATGCCATATAATTTCACTTATATGTGGAATCTAAAGAACAAAATAAATAAACAAAACAGAAACAAAACTCACAGACACAAAGAACATTTTGATGGTTGCCAGATGGGAGGAAGGTTGGGAGAATGGGTGAAAAGGGGGAAGGGATTAATATGTATAAATTATAGTTATAAAATAGTCATGGGGATGTAAAATAGAGCATAAGGAATATAATAAAAAATATTGTAATAACTATGTATGGTATCAGATGAGTACTAGATTTATTGGCGTGATCACCTCATAAATTATATAACTGTCTAATCACTATTTTGTACACCTGAAATAAATGTAATATTGTATGTCAACTGTAATTGAAAAATAAAATATTATTTTTTAAAAAGACAGTGTGATATTGGCAGAGAAGCAAACACATAGGTCGGTTGAAACATAACAGAAAATCTAGACTTAGACCGACACAGGTATGTCCAACTGATTTTTGACAAAGGGCAACAGCAAGTCAATGAGGTACAGCCTTTCGATAAATGGTGCTGGAGTAACTGGACATCCATAGACAAAAAAAAAAAAAAAACCTCCACCCAAACATCACACATTATACAATAATTAACTTAAAAATGGATTACAGTCTTAAATAATAAGTAATAAATATAAAACTTATAGGGGGAAAAGGAGAACATGTTTAGGACCTAGGGTTACACAAAAAGTTCTTCGACTTGACACCAAAACCAAAATCCATAAAAGTTGAACAATGAGACCTCCTCAAAATTTAAAATGTTTGCTCTATAAAAGATAGTTTTAAAGACAAGTTACATACTGGAAAAATATGTGTAAATCTCACATCTGACAAAGGGCTTGTATCTAGACTATCTTACTTACTCTCAAACTCAACAGTCAAAAAAAAAAAAAACCCAAAAGCAAAGTCTAATTAGAAAATGAGCAAAAGATGAAAACATACTTCACTGAAGAGACTATACATATGGTAAATAAGCACGTGAAAAGATATTCAACAGAATAGTCACTGGGGAAACAAACATTAAAACTACAATGAGATAATTCTATACATTTAACAGAATGACTAAAACAAAAAAATGGTGGCAAAGATGTGAAGAAAATAGCTAGCTCATACATTGCTGGTGGGAATGTAAAATGGTGCAGCCAATCTGGAAAACAATTTGGCAGTTCGGTATGAAATTAAACATACAATTACCATATAGTCAATAATTGCATTTTCAGGCATGTCTCCCAGACAAATGAACTTATTACCACAAAAATGTAGCATCTTTATTCATAGATGTCCTTCAGTGGTTGAACGGTTAAACAAATTGTGTACATCCATACCATGAAATGACAGTCATAACAAAAAGGAACCAACAATATATACACAACTGGTACATATCTCAAGGGAATTATGCTGAGTGGAAAAAGTCAACCATAAAATGTAATTATAATTATATGCTGTACAATTCCATTTGCATAACATTTGTGAGACAATAAAATTATAGAAATGGAGAACAGATTAGTAGTAGTTACCATGGGTTAGGAGCAGGGAGGGAGAATGAAATAGTGTGTCTCTAAATGGCCACACGAGGGATACTGTGGTGGTGGAACTGTCCTGTGTCTTGAAAGTGGTGGTGGAAGAAATCTGTATATGTGATAAAACTGAATAGAGTTAAATACAACTCATGCAGACACACACACACACACACACACACACGCACACGCACACGCACACACGCACACATACGCGCACACACACAGAGTAAAACGAGACACCTGAACAGGCTGCGGATTGTACCAATGGCGGTTTCATGGTCTGATATTGTATTATAGTTACCATGGTAGACACTGGGTGATGGGTACCTGGGACTCACACATTTTTTGCAACTTCCCATCAATGTGTAATTATTTCAAAATAAAAATTTTAAACAAACAAGTACAGTTAGAACTCTTCATAGTTATATGTCTTTTACATAATTCTTTCCCCTAAACTCTTCCCAAGAAATCTTTTCCACTTATTCCTAAAAACTCAAATTCTTTCAATATTCTCAAAATTCCAAAATCCGTCTCCTAACTCTGACTCCTGTCTTGAGCTCCAGACCCTTATATTCAAGTGGACCTCTCCATCTGATGTCTCAAAGGCACCTCGAGTTAATGTAGAAAACGGGACAGCATCCGTTATACAAGTTCTATATAAGTATATGCCTTTATGGTGGTGGTGGCGGTGGTGATTATTATTACACACTATGTTTTAAATCCAAAAGAACAAAATCTACTTTTTCCTTTTGAACATTACAGCTAAATATCTACTTCTTTTGCTTTTTATGTCTTTTATAAACTCCTTTGTCTCCTTCCAGGATCCCATCTCCATCCTCCCTTCTGGCATACCTCCATGTTTCAGCCAAAGAAATTTATCACACATTCAGGAGGTTTTAAGCCCATAATAAAAAGATTCAGGTGCTACAAAATGGCTGAGCCTGTACCAAAAATGACTAAGCACATCACCTACTTCCAATCCACCCTCTCTCTCTCTCCAATGAGCTCCACAGCCTCACCCCTCTACAGAATTCTAATCAACTTGACAAAGACATCTTCAGTCACTTACCAGTCACCATCAGCAAGATTAACAGGACACACTTCATGTTGGTGCCTGAACTCTGTTCTAAGGGTAAGGATATAGTGAAAACCAACAGGCACAAAGCGGGGATAGAACTTACACCCCGCGTGGGGATTCTGAACAGTGGAAGGAGGTGCAGGGGAGAGAACTGGGTGAGGATGCTCTAAGTCTTTAGTCTAGAGGCTCTCCTTCCCGTCTGGATCCTCAGCGTGAAGAAGGATGGCAGACATGGAAACCTTTTCTGTCTAAGGGAAGTCTCCCCCGTGGGATGATGAGTTCCAGGGATCTGAGCCTCCACCTCAACTAGGGAAAGGAATTCCAAAGTAGGAGTTCAAGCGCACCTTCCGCGGAGTTAAAATTCATCCCACGCTCCCTTCCCTAGCCTCTCAGTTCTTTTCACCAGTTCCTTCCCCACTGACTAGCATCCCTCCCTCTACATGTCCCATTGCCCCCTCCTTTCTGGGCTACGCTGCTGAAGCAGAGCTGCCTCCACCCCTCTGTGTGACACCGATTTCCCTCCCCTTTATGTATGTCACACTCAGCCCACCCCTCCTCAAAACCGCTTCACTCGTATGGGTTCACATCTCACAACCACAGACATCACTAGAATAAAAATTCCCAGCCATTACCAATACTAGCGTTCCCATGAGATCTCTAAATCTGTTCTTACCACACTGCCCTCCGGGACACAGCCTTGCTCGCTTGTTCTCTCTCTCTCTCTGTCTCTCAACTTTTTCTGTAGCTGCCTTTTTCAAACTCATTTCGGTGGCAAAACAGAACAAGAACATTACTAAAATCAGAAATCGGTTAGATGGCAGAACGAAATAGTGATAGACTTAAGAGTCCCTATAAATCTCGTATGCTCTGTGGAATGAGGCCGAGGACAGGTATGTCTCCATATGTACATGGAATCTATAATAACACTAATAGATAAAGAACGTAATAGCAACGAATTACAAACATACATGGAAATGTTGACTATCTTATACACGCACACGCCATCCATCCATCCATAGAATTCTAAAGTTATTTTTTCAAAGAGAAGCCTTAAGAACGATGTCCATATCGGATATCTGTATCCTGAAGCAAATAATAAATTTTTATTAATAAATAAAAATAAACGAGATTGGCAAACTAACAGGAGCATTCAAAGGCTAAAGTACTATAAAAAAGTGATTAGTGTCAAAACAAGAAAGCTCACACTGAAAAGTAGTTTGGTAGGCCTGGTGTGCACAGTGGGAAGGGGGGAGAGAGGTGGCACAGAGGAGATGACAAGAGATGGGGACAAAGACAAGACGAAGCGAGGGTCAAGCGAGGTCCCTAAACCATGCTCGGGGGTCGTTCTCTAGGCAGTAGGGAACTACTGAAGAGTTCGAAGAAGGTGACTAACGTGATCTTATCTGAATCTAGAGAAAAACAAAAACAATCCTAAGTAAAAAAGAGAATGTCAAATTAAGTAACGGTAGGTGGGCACGTGCATTCGTACATACAACTGAGACGAGATCACGGCCTGGATTCCGATGACAGCAGTGAGAATGGAAAGATAATGGATGGATCGTAGGGACTGTTGGAATGAGCGTGGACTTTGGGATTGAACGGTGAGAAAAAGAGAAAAATCAAAGAAGTGGAAGGTAGAGTTATCTCCTAGAATAAGGAAAACAGGCAGAAGAGTGAATTTGGAAGGCCAGAGGAGTGAAGAGTGTAATTTTGACATGCTAAATTTCAGAGGCCTAGAGGGGATGCAAATGATGGTTTCTAAGAGGCCGCTGTCGATGTGGGACTGAAGTCTTGGGCTAGAGATACCAATTCGAAATTCACGCGCAGGTAGTAGTCCCCAGTGCCCTCCTCCTCCAGAAAATCTGTTGTCTGTAGAGATCTTTCCCAGATAGCAACCCTGCTTTTCTGCTCTTAGCTCTCACACTCCCAGACCAGACCTCATATTTCCTTCCTGGCCCATAATATTTTCAAAAGATCTGGGGAAAACGACCTCAGAGTCAAGCGTATCTCTCTCTCAATTTATCGCCTGTGTTAACTAATCCCACCCCCACCGCAGAAAACCTTCCACAACTCTATCCTGTCTTTGAACTTCAGTATCTTTCATAACCAGTCCCACTTCCCAAGGTACCTCTGTGTTCACTGTGACATTCGGGAAAGCATGTGACATGCCTGTTTCCCATTTCACACTTGAGGGACTTCGTGTGACAGTTTTTCAAGATCCATGAATATTGATTAGCTGAAGCCTAGAGGGTGGGGTTGAAAAGCTGTATGTCCAACAAGACCTCGATTCTACTTCTAGTCTTCCCAATCATGTGTGATTTTGAGAAAATTACTTAAATTCTGTCTCAGTTCTGTCACCTGATCAGGAGAAAAATGACACCAGCCCAGCCTCGTCTCCTCTTTCCAGGGTTGTCATAATACTGGAATGAGATTATGAGCTTAAGAAATTTAAGGGTTAGAGTGATGCAAAGTATAATTAAGTTTACGTCTCAAACTAACTTAATATAAAATCACCACTAATGATGTCCGTAAAGAATTTAGCTCAGCGCGTGGGATCCAGTAAGTGTTCAGTGAATGTTAGCTATTGACGTTACTGCTCTTTCTCTTGTTAGAGCGTGTTCCCAATTATCCCAGGATGACTGAGGATATTATTGGCCAAGAAATCTTTTCATTCAAAAGCACCGAAAGGTTCTGCCTTCTGAATTGTCACCAACAGACAGCAGATCCTGGATCTGATTTAATCTAGAACGTACACCCTTCCTCAGCTATCGAAATAACTGGTATGAACGCTTTTCATCTCTCCATTTCCTCGGATCAAAGCTGTGGATCAGGACAACCAGACCTTGCTGGCGATGACGGCTGAGTGATGAAACAGTGATCACAGGGAAAGATGAAGCTAGTGTAATAAAGATGGGAGGGGCTGAAGGGAAGTATAAGCAACTCTTAGGGGGTTCAGAGCAAACTTGGGGATACTGTGTTCCTGAGCTAAGGTGGAAAATCCTGCCCTCACAGCCCTGGCCTCAGAAACTGTGGGGAACATAAGCCCTGAGCCTAGAGCTCCCTTTCCCGCTGGCAGCTGAACTACTTTTAGTCAGCTGGGCTTTTAGAGACAGCAGATAGAGGGACCTGGATCCAGAAGTCTAAGGAACTAGGCTTCTTTTCCATTCCCGAAAGACTCCAGTGGACCCTCCGCACCTTCCCTGGGGCAAAAGGGCCTCCATTCGTCTATTTGGAACTCTCTCCCCCTGCTTTATGCCCAGAGCTGCCTTCCAATCCCATTTTGTGCCCCCCGTGCCAAACCACACCCACTGATTCTACAGGTGTTCTCGAGGACGAGGCTGAGCTGAGACTCCATACTCCACTGACCTCTACATCTCACAGGGAAAGACCTGGATGGCTATGAAAATTATCTTCTATTTGAGTGTCCTTGTCGGTACGTAGCCATGGCCTTCTACTCTGTCCTCTAAGGTGTGGGTTAATGTAAAACAGAGTAGGGCAGATGCAGGCTGTGTGGAGGATGCAAAAGAGATTCAAGACAGCAGTCATGAGCAGAACTAGGGGTCTCCCTCCTTAGACCCCATCCGAAGGCTCTCAGGATGGGCTGAGCCAGTGCCAAGCTGTAGGGTGGGGTATGGGGCACACCTGATGAACAGTGAGTGCCTCTGCTGGTTATTCTAAAATGTGAGCCTCATCACCCACTGGGCAAGTCCCGGTGTAGCCACAGGACAGAGAACTCATCTTGTCATCTGATATCCGTTTTTCTGAAAGCTTAGAGACTCAGAATGCAGGGAATGGAGCAGGTGGGAACAAAGATCAAATGCCAGGGCCCCACCTCCTGCATTCCCTGACTTGCCTAAAGTTCTTCTGACAGCAGAATTTGCTGAAAAGGCATTTCCCACCACCCCACTGACTGCACGAATGAGCTGTGTGAGCTTGGACGAGTCAGTTAACACATCTGTGCTTCAGCTTCTACGGTCGAAATGAGGGTGTTTTGATTTACATTATACAGTCGTTGTGAGGATTCAATCGATCCACGTAAAGCGCTTAGGACAAGAGCTCAGTGTCTCCTATCCTTATTCATACTGCACCCTCTCTCCCCTGGGGTCTCTAACCGTGTGATCACAGAGAAGGTGCCGTGAGGTAGAGGCCTAGCTAGGCTTGGGGTGGATAAGAGAAGTATTGAAGCAGCCAAGACAAGAGAAGTGCTTTATTTTCTAGAATTAGCCTTCTTCCCCTTCCTTCTCATTTTTTAAAACAATTCGTTTATAAAAATGTTGTGTGTTCATATTAGAAAATTTGAAAATATTAAAAAGCAGAAGATAATTACCATCATTCGTAATTCTACCTTTCAGTTAACACAAGCTAACGCTTGGTTGGAATTTACTCCCGGGCTTTATTTTCTTTACTTTTACATTTAAATGGTTTATGTTTTGCTTATTTACTTGGTTTAGACAATTGAATTACTGGATTTTATTATTATTTTTAACTTAAAGAAAAGTTATCAATATTTCCTTTGCTGTTCAATAGTCTTTATAAATACGGTTTTAATAGCTATGATGTTCCTTTCGTTGACGTACTTTTTCATTTCAATGTCTAACATTACTGCATTAGAAATTTATGATTCCAATGTTTAGCTATTATAAATCGTGCTCAGTGAGAACATTTATTCGCAATCTTTGTCTACAGATACATTTACTTCTGTAGAATGGAATCTGGGGCCTGGAACTATTAGGTCACAGGTGATGAACCCCTTATAAGTGTTGATGCCTATTTTTAAATTGCTTTTCAAAAAGATAGACTCAAACTACATTCCTACAAACCATGAGAGTGTTTCTCCTTGTACTTTCTTTGATTGGATCTTATCAACATTAAACAAAAATGATTATTATAAATATTGGATAAAATGGTATGTCTTTTAATTTATATTTTTATTAGGAAAAAAAAATGTCAAACATTTTCACATTTCCTGACCAATTACTTCTTTAAAATGGTCCATATTCTTTTTCATCGAGGAAATTGTTGACTGTATTATGCGTTCTAAGAATGTCATTATAGCAAACTTATTATTTTCTCAGGGACATTTTTCTCCGCTTCCTCGGCCGTGCAGAAGGAAGACCATGCTCCCTATTTGGTATACCTCAAGTCTCACTTCAACCCCTGCGTGGGTGTCCTCATCAAGAAAAACTGGGTGCTGGCCCCAGCTCACTGCTACTTACCGTGAGTGTCGGGCATCCCCACCCCCCGAAACAGCTCCTACTCATCCTGCATCCCTGGCTCTCAAGTAGAGGCAATGTCCCTTCAGGGTACATTTGGCAAAGTCAAGATAGTTTTGGGTGTCACTATGGACTTGGGAGTAGGGAAGGCTGTGCTACTGGCATCTATCCAGTGAACAGAGGCCAGGGCGAGAACACTGCGGGGCTCCCTGCCCGACCCAGGACGCCCCGCGGTCCCACCCAAAAGGCCAGCGGTGCTGCGGCTGACGAGTCCTGTTCCACGAATTCTGCCTCCTCCGTCTCCTATCAGTTTTCCCAAGTTTTTGACTGAAAATATGAATGTGTTTTATAAGTTTAGGGACCAGCAGGTAACTTATAATGCATGTAGACTGGATACGATGAAGATAATTTTTAAAAAGAACTAATGACAAAGGTATGGTCAAGGGACACAGGAAAACCCAGAGTTCGGTGCTCCCGGGGTTAGGATTCGAAAGGGGCGTTACTGCCCCTAGACCTAGAGGGCCAAGGAGAGGATGGTTATGGGGGCGCGGGGCGCGTTGTACGAGAGATCGCCTTGCACGAGCTATAGCCTTTGGTTCGGAGACACAGCCAACAGCCAATCTGTGGCAACCCTGGGGCCGTAAATAATACTCCAACCTCACACTCCTTCCTCCAACTACTTTCCAGTGCTTCCTAGCGGCCAAAGCTCATTGATTTAATCCACTTCTATGATGTTCCAAAGGTACAGAGCAGGATAAAGTAGGGCTGGGAGGGATCTGGTGAAGCAAAGAGCAGATATCCGCCCCTCGGGTCATCCCAACCTCTCACCTCCAGCACAGTGAAAATGCCCACCTGGATGGGCCGGAGCTGGAGAGGAGGGAGAATCACATATCTCTGCCACGCATCGCTTCCCCCTCTACTACATCCGGGACAACCACGTGAAGACACAGCAGTTAAAGGCTCCGCCACTGACTGTGGGGAAGTCCTCTTACTGCCTCCAGTACTTCATCTGGAAAATGGGGATTGCAAATAGAATGCACCTCATAGATTTGTTGTGAGTGGGAAGTGAGGTAACCCGGAAGCCAGATGAAGCTCTTGGCGCAATACCTGGCACATTGTAACATTCAGTATCAGCTTTGGTGGTGGTGGTGGTGGTGGTGGTGGTGGTAACGATGATATGACAGTGATTACTTCCAACCCTTTCTCCCTCCAGAAATCTGAAAGTGATGCTGGGGAATCTCAGAGTCAGGGTCAGAGATGGGACAGAGCAGACTATTAACCCCATAAATATTGTCCGCTACTGGAACTACAGTCATAGCTACCCTCAGGATGACCTCATGCTCATTAAGCTGGCTAACCCGGCCAACAACAGCCACAAAGTCCAGCCCCTGGCCCTCGCCACCAGCGATGTCCGGCCAGGCACCGTCTGTCTGCTTTCGGGTTTGGACTGGAGCCAAGACAACAGTGGTGAGTGCACCTCCCACAGCAAACCAGGGTCATCAGTTATCCCTGAAGAGGAACACCCATGTCTCATAGCTGACGGGAGAGAAGACGGGGTGGAGACCACAGGGAGATACGACATGAGTGGTCTGGCAAAAAGAGACCCGCCCAGAAGCCCAAAGCTCCTCCTTTCCCAGGGTGTCGCACGCTTGCTGCCTCTCAGGGCTTCTGGAGCTGGATCCGCAGGCCACCTGGCTGCACAGAGGTCATCATTCCTGACGGTCAGAGACACGATTCCTATTAAAGAGGCTGCAGCCCTCCCTCCCACGCAGGCTCATTTCACACGTAGAGGAGAACTCGACTGGATCTACAGTCATAGCTGCCCTCAGGATGACCTCATGCTCAAGAACTCGAGAACTTGAGTCAGGGCCCCTCTTATTCCTTTAAGACTGGACACTGAGTAGAAAGAAAACTCTGCTTTTTACAGAGACATAAAGGCTATTTCAAAACCCTCAGGATTACCTCTCATAACTGCGCCCAAGGTCATTTCTTCCCTCCTTCCCATTCCTCGTTTTCTTTAGACACACACAAAACACCAGCTGCAGTAGCGGGTTGTGGCTGCAAAGGTTCAATAACGATTGAGAACAGGAAGGTCTCTTTATTCCTGTCTTCCCTCAGGCAGACACCCCGATTTAAGGCAGAACCTGGAGGCCCCTGTGATGTCTGATAAAGAGTGCCAGAAAACCGAACAAGGAAAAAGCCACCGGAACTCCTTATGCGTTAAATTTGTGAAAGTGTTCAGCCGAATTTTTGGGGTAATCTTTTCTCTTATAGTCATTCAGTTTCCCTTAACTTGTATGTGTCTAGTTAACTATTTAATCGTGATATTTTAAAAACCTAGAAAGCCCTCAGCTTCTTAACATTTCTTGAGAATTGTGATAAGGCCGCAGCAAGCTCCCGTTGTTTCTTCAGTAATGGGCTCTCCTTACAGATGTCGTTATTCATTTAAGGGCTTCATGTAGTACATGTAGTTAATAATACTTTTATTCTTGTGGCTGCAAGTGAAAATGGGCACGGCTGGAAAAAACAATTCCGATGTTTCACAAATTGAAACTGGCTTCACCGGTTCAGATAAATGGGGTTTGATTCATTTTACATGTAAGTTCTAGAGAGGTTTTTCTCTGAGATTCTCAAGATCACACAGGCTGATTATAGCAAAGCCAGGTAAATGACTCAAGCTTCCTGTCTCCCACTTCCTGTCTCCCACTTCCTATCTCTCACTTCCTGTCTCCCACGTGGTCTTCTCATGCCCCAGCATGCCACCTCTAGTCAGGGCTCTTCCCAGATGGGGACTGGAGGGCTCCTGTGAGAAGGTCTGACCATCTCTCTCTCTCTCCCTCTCTCTGCACGATGTCTGGCAGGAAGTGGCCGTTGCTACTGTCATCTGCAAAAAAAAGCTCCAGGGGATTGAGGTCGGACATTTCATGGGAGGAGATGTCGGCATCTACACCAATGTTTACAAATATATATCCTGGATTGAAAACGTCACTAAAGACACATGAGACTCTCCTACCCAATCTGCAGCCCATCAGCTCCACCATTGGCTATGCAAGCACTATTTCCCCCAAACTTAAAACAAAATGTCCAAATAGAACTATTTGGAAGCATCACACCAGTAGCCTGTGTTTTCTGATTTGTGTCTTTGCCCAGATTTCATAATGATCTGAAAAACCAAGGACAAAAGATGAAATGAGCACTCACTACACTACACTGAGTTATGTCTACTGTCCCATTTAATGCTCATGACAAACCTTTGAAGTTATCTTTTATCTCCACGTTACAAATGGGAGAGTTGTGATTAAAAGAGGTTACTTAACATTATCTATAGCTGGCAGAGGTCAGAGCCTGGACTGGAACCCCAAAATGTCAGATTCTCAATCCCATGCTCTTAGCCTCAAAATTATAGGGGAGTCCATGGCATCGCAACAGACGTTGTCTTCTATTTCCCTGCTACTTCTCTTCCCATTCAAAGGGCCTGAGGTTCTAACTTGTGGCTAAGATCTTGGGTACTGGAATAAACTCTCCTAAGAATAGTCACACTTCTCACTGCCTTAGTGATTGCGGCGTGCCCCAGGGAGAGGGCTAATGAATGGTAGAAAGCAAAAAACGGAACTTCAGGACAGAGTCAACAACCATAAATCAAGTCCAAAAGGAGGCCTGGCAGCTCTGGAGTGGGTGAAAAAGTCCCCTAGATGCCAAGAAGAGTATAATCTCAGGGCAGTGGCAGAGCTCAGGAGGCAGAAATGGCCGAGAGGAGGTGAAAGACGGGCAGAAACTGGACTTTGCCACAGATACTTTAGAAACGTTTTGACAACTTTTATGTCTTTAATTTCTTTAATGTCTTTAAGTGTATAGATTTTTCATATATTCACAGAGTTTAGCAATTATCACCACGATCTAATTTTAGAATTTTTTCATGACTCTTAAAGAAATTCTGCACAATGAGCAGTCACTACTCATTTTCTCCATCCCCTGGCCCTGGAAACCACCGATCTACCTTCTGTCTCTATAGATTTGCCCATTCTGGACCTTTCCTATAGTGAATGGAATCAGATAATGTGTACTCTTTTGCGATAGGCGTCTTTCACTTAATATGTTTTCAAGGCTCATGCTGTAGCATATATCCACACTTCTTTCCTTTTCATGGCTGATAACATTCTATTGGATGAGTATATACACACCACATTTCACCTCTCCATACGTCAGATGACGGACTTGACTGTTATGAACAATGCTGCCATGAACATCCACACCCAAGGGTTCGCGTGGACATCTATTTTCACATCTCTTGGCTATAACCTTCCTTATGAGCGGAATCGCTGACTCATGTGGTAACCGTGTTTTTAATATTTTAAGGCACTGCCAAACTGTTTTCCAAAGTGGCTGTACCCGGTTACATGCCCACTAGTAATGAATGAGGGTTCCAGTGTCTCCACATCTTCATTAGCATGTATTATTGTCTTTTTTATTTTAGTCATTCTGATGGGTATGACATGGTATCTCGCTGTGGTTTTGATTTGCATTTCCCCATTGACTAAGGATGTTGACTATCTTTTCCTGTGCTTGCTGGCCTCTGATATATCTTCCTTGAAAAAATACCTATGTGAACCCTCGGCCCCGTTTTCAATTGGATGTCTTTTTACTACAGTTGTAAGAGTTCTTTATGTATCCTGGATACAAGTCTCTTATCAGATACATTATTTGACATCTTTTCTACTATTCTATACTTCGTCTTTTCACTGTCTTGATGGTGTCTTTTGAGGCACAAAAGTTTTTAAAATTGTTGAAGTCCAATTCACCTATTTTGTGTTGTCATTGCTTGTACTTTTTGGCGGGGTAGCTAAGAAACCATTGAATGACCAATCTAAAATCACCAATATCACCCTTATAAACTTTTTTCTAAGAGTTGTGTAGTTGTAGATATCACAACTTAATTGTATATGGTGTGAGTTAAGGCTTCAACTTCATTCTTTGCAGGTAGATATCCAGTTGTTCCAGAACCATTTGTTGAAGTCTTATTTTACTTTTGAAATGTCTTGGGCACCCTTGACTAAAATCATCTGACCATAAGTGTGAGGGTTTATTTCTGTACCTTCAATGCTATTCCATTCATTCATATGCCTCTCCTTAGGCCAGTACCACACTGTCTTGATTACTATAGCTTTGTAGTAAGTTTTGAAGTTAAGAAGTGAGAATCCACCAAATTTGTTCTTTCTCAAAATTGCTTTGCTTATTATAAGTCTCCTGCAATAGCATATGAATTTTAGGACCAGCTCGTTGATTTGGCAGGGAAGGCCAACGGGGATCAAGATAAGAATTGTGTTGATCTATATAGATCTGGGGAGTGCTGATATCTAAACAATATTAGGTATTTAAATCCATGAACATGTGATGCTTTTCCATTTATTTAGGTCTTCTTTAATTTCTTTCAGCAATGTTTTATAGTTTTCAGCGTATATGTCTTGTACTTCTGTTATTCTATTCTTTCAAATGCTATTATAAATGGAAATGTTTTCTTAATTTCATTTTTGAGATGTTCATTGCTAGTGTACAGCTATACAATTGATTTCTGTATATTGATCTCACATCCTGTAACCTTGAAGTCGCTTATTACTTCTAATAGTTTTATTGTGGAATCCCTAGAATTTTCTATACATAGGATCATGCCATCAGATTTTCTCTTTTATTAATCTGTCTTACCAGTGGATTTTCTACTTTGTCTTTTCAAAGAACAAACTTTTGACTTTTTAATATGTATAAGAAGAAACAAACACTCAAAAAAGAGGTAGTTGAAGAAAATTTAATAAAGGATTTATAAAGGTGTGGGGGGACAAGTTTAAAGAACTAATAAGGGATGCCGAAGCACACAGATGTGTGGGAAGCCACTGCCAAACCAATATATCTGGCATTTCTGTTCTACGTTCTGTATCTTCAATTATTCTCTGCAATGAAAACACTTAAAAGTTATTTTTTCCCAAAGAGTCATATGATAATATTAAAGGTACATATTTACAGCTATTACTATGCACCAGGCACTCTTCTAAGCACTTTACATATATTAATTCATTTAATCTTCATGACAAAACTATGCCAAATAAGCCTTCCTGCTCTAAAATGATATATGTGTTCTTATAAAACCTCAAAATCATGTACAAAACCTAAAAGAGTTGGGAGGGAAATAATGTTGGTGAAGACCATAGAAAACCTCTGCAACTTTGCAACCACAGCAATATCTGAAATAAAAACGGTCTTAATAAAAATCCTAGACAGATATATCTCTGCTAGCCTTTGCACTCAGCATCAATTGTTCACAGCTTTCAAAATGGGGCTTGTTTCTTCAAAGTACAAATCTTTGCGGGCATTAATCTCTAGAGATGAGTTTCATTACAATTAAAAAACTGAACCAGAGGATAGCCTGATCTAAAAATGCACATTTTTAAAACACCAGAAAATGTTTTTCAGCTACTTAATCTTCACTCATAATTTCACCAGTAACTCAAGATTGTGTAGACCATAAAGATTCTTGCAGCCACTTCTCCAGCTCCCACTACAGGAAAGCACTTGGGCAGATTCCAGTTTTTTCCTTAAAATGCTTAAGTTTCACTAAGACTTGCATTTTAATTGAAAGTAAGTTGCCCTTGATAGTTTCTTTTGTCTTCAATCTACAAACCTAAATTTTTTCGTCTATTTTTCCGATTTTCTTTACTTCGTTCTTTCAAATTTTGTAGCACTGGCAATGATTTGTGTGGATACTTTTTCCTGCCTAGAATCGATTGCCAATTGTATGCCATGCTGACTCCTTTAATCCAGGTAAATGAGACTTTTCTTCATCCCAGGACCTGTCAGCTAGGGCAGGTGTGTGACCTAGAAACAACCTACCAGAGGCTCTGAGCCGGGATTTTGGACCCTGGAGCTATGACTCAAATGGACATATTCACAGAGGAAGCAGTAGTGTCAAGGACGCAATGTTGGCAAATGAAATGTGAGTGGCAGTGCCAACATCAGGCCCATGGAGTGACTTGGTTGCGTCCTCAGTTGTTCAAACCTTTCTGGTTTCCATTCTGGCATTGCCTCTCCAGCCTTCCCATGATTCTGTGAGAGACAACTTCCTTCCAATAGATTCGATTTCTCCTTAAGTCATATGAAATTGGACATATGAGCTAGGACATAGGGAAAGTACAGGAGAGTTGAAGCACTGATCTCTTCCTTCTACATAATTCGGATTCCGTAGATGCTGTCATACGTTATGATTCAAAAAAGTAAAGTTAAAAATATATTACTTAAAGTTATAAAATTAATGACTGGAAGAATGACAAATAAATAAAGTTAATCAAACATAGGAAAGGGAAATGGATTTGGGGTTAAGTGAGATAATCTCCAAACTTTAATGAATGAGACTCAGAAGATACAGTTCAAAGTTGATAAACCAAGTAAGAGAGGTAAAATCTTATTACTTCGAGTTGCGAAAGTAATCACTAGAAGAACTAAGACAAATGATAAAATATGACTATATTTGTTCAGTGAGACTAATAATGGAGAGTGGAATGGGCGAATGTCACAGTTCATTTTCTACCTTTCTGTACCATTTGAATCTCTGTAGTCCGCCTCTAAGCTGCTCATATCATATAATAGAAAGGAAGGCTAGTCATATCTACACACACATATACGCGCATGCATGCGCACATGGATCCAGCTGCAGCTCTGAGAATGCAAACTATAAAGGATCTAATTACATAGGAATCAATTCGAGAGCACAGATTTGCCTCCAGATTTGTTTTCTTGGACAAAACACAAAGCAGCCTCACATCCATCGTGAGCTAAATCACGTACGGAAAAAGGAAGGAAACCCAATCCCAAAAGGTGACAGGGAAAACGCAAATCTTGTGTCCCCAAGAAAAGCAAAGCATAGAAACTTCAGTCTGGCACGATTTTGGACCTAGGCTCGCAAGCATCCTACCGATACCAAACTTGAAAGATTAGTTGCTTATTTCATCTGTTTAAAAATATTCATAAACTTCAGCATTCCACGAGCTAAGCTCATTAAGAATTCTTAAAGGTATGAACAAGAGGGGCTTGAGGTTTACTGGAACTACACAAGACTTAAGAGTCCAAAAATCCAAGACTGTTTTACTTGCATAGTTTACCACTTGATGATCTTGAGCAAATCACCACTCCGGCCTAAGTTTTGTCCTCTGTAAAACAGGTTGGAATTATTAACTGCATAGAGTCGCTATTAAAATCAAATGAGATAATGGACTACATACGAGAATACTTGATAAAATGTAAAGCCTAATAAAAATGTTAGGTACTGCTATTATCATTATTACAATTGGTCAAAAAAGACATCTGTATAAACATAGGCATGCATAATGAAAAATTCATCCTACTAATAAAACATAACCAAAGAGTAGCATCTCTCTCTTTGAAAAGGATGATCATTCCTAGAAGACAAAAGATGTGTTCGAACTCCCACAGTGACATCAGCTGTCCCCTTAACGACTAACATCCACGTGTGCCTAGCACATACCTCAGTTCACAACTTTCAGTAAGGAAAAGACACATGTTAGAGAGAACGGATTAATGGAAGAGTAAAAGTGAAAAAAAAAAAAACAAAACATTAAGTATATCGAGTATTGTCCATGGGGTTCCAGATCCCCTGGGACTGAACCACGATCAATGTGTTCAAACAAAGCTAAGAAGAGAAAGTACACAGCATGAGGGATGGGATTCGGAGGAGGGAAGGGCGGCGCCCGCTCTTTAGGAAGGTGGCATGAAATCAAGGAAAGGCTCTGGACCAGGAGTCAGGACACTAAGTCCCGGCCCCGGCACTGCCACAGGCTCTACGAACCCCTGGCAGGCCACTGCCCCTCTGGGCCTCGGTTTCTTTGTAATAAGAAAGAGAAAGAGGCGTTGTAAGTCTAGTGAACACAGCTAATTGATCATTTAGAAATATTTACTAAGCAACTATTCCGGGCTAGGTAGTAGTGACTAGGCAGCAGGAACCTAAGAGAAAACAAAACAGACACAGTTCCTGCTGCTATGGATGGATTGGACGTTCTCGATGATGTCCATCTGACTCGAAGACGTGGCAGCATGCTACAACCCCAACTTCAGGCTGTGGAGAGGCCAGGGCGGGCAGGTAGGATGACTAAATGACCTTGTTCTTTCTGAGAGCAGAAGCAAGTGCCCCTCACTCCCATCTTGCCCGACTCCAGGCTCAATATATTTCATGGCAGCCAACAGACTTTTATCCTAAAAGGCAAGTCTAGGGCTCAAAGAAACTTCCAGAAACCTAAAGATTTTTTTTTTTTTTTAGTTAGATAACTTAGATCCACTACTTTAGAGAAAAAGTAAAATTATTTGATACTTTTATAAGCTTATCTGAATTGACTCACATTAATGAATAGGTGTGAAATTTCATAAAAATTAATGATTGCTATATTAAGTGTTCCCCATCTCTGTTTCCTATAATAGGAAAAATGTAACGTATACATGCAATTTTAAAAGAAATGAATTATTTACTATACATAAACAAAACATAACAGCCCTTTTATCAAACATAAAGCCCTAACCTTAATATTCTATAATACATTAAAAAATGTACTTTGCATTGCCAAAAGAGAAATAAGATTGATTTTTATTCTGAATTTCCTGTTGCCCATTTGTTGCAAAAAAAAAAAGGAAAATTTTTAAAGATGTGAACGTCAGCTCCCTATAGAGAGCTATCCAAAGCGTGTCTCGAAAGAGTATCCTAACCACTTCTTTCTCTCCAGCTCACAGGCCGCAGGCCCTCCAAGCACACACTACCTTCTGCAGGATTCTCTGACAAGCCTGTTTCATCCTGGGATTCCCCATAATCAATATGACAGAATGAAGAGAAGGATAGGCAGCCATGAGTATCTCCGAGATGAAGACAGAGGTGAGATTAACAGGAGACTTGGAGGAGATGGAGTAGGGGCTGGCCACTACGTATACCATGTAAAGTATAAGGAAGCAAAGCAAGGACTTCAGGACGGTGATGTGAGCCGTGGCCCGAGCATCCTTCCTGCCAGCTATATGGACCTTCATCTTCCTGTGGTGTCTATACAAAGAGATAATCAGCATCCCAGAGGATAAAAGAAACATCAGGAAAGGCAACCCGCTTCCTGAATTGAGCTGTAATATATACAGATAGTGCCAGCTTGAAAGGGGGCACAGCATGCTCCTGTTTTCTTGGGAAGCGCTGTAGGGCTTTAAGTCGATGTGGGCGACAAGCAACACATTGATCATGAGGGCACCCAGAAGGCACCATAGACTCAGGCAGTAGATCCTGTGCTTCAGCCACAGGTAGACGGGGTGTTGAAAGGTCGTGATCTTCTTGCAGTAGAAGACACTGAGGAACGTGGCAAACCACAGGCTGGCCTGGCTTACCATAACCCAGAAGACATTGAGATAGCGAAGCCAAAGGCTGCTCTGGAAAAGCGGGAACAGGCTTAAGTCTATCATGATCAGGCACTGCAGGAGTAATCGGCAGCCGGACAAGCCCAGGACAATGAGGTTGTACGAAGATCCCTTGCATTTTCTGACGCACTCTCTAAAACTCCAGAATATGAGGACTCCGTTGCTAACCAGGCCAATCAGAAACTCAGCGACTGCCACCACCATCAGCAGTCCTCGGGCAGTGGTCTGCATGGCTGGGGAAGGAGTCTCTCACTGCCGTCTCAGGAGGTGCCCTGCCTCGGTGCTGATGAACGTGTGGGCTCCTGGCTGAGCTTCAGACCCCTCGAGGGTGACACCACACTCCCAGTAAATTTTCACACTGCGAAATGCGGATTTGGTCTCGCCCTTCAACAACCCGTCCTCAGGCAAAGACTGAATAGCTGTGACGAGGATCAGAGTTTAGAAGTTACGATTCCCTCTGTATTTGCATCCACATGAATGAACTCTGAACCTAGACGTGTAGATCTAAAACAGTACTACAGACGCCGACTCTCCTTCTCAAGGGCCATGGGTCTAGACAGCAGCACATAAAATGATAAGACCTCCCAACAAGAGAGGCCAAATTTAAACAGTCTCAGGTTCTGTATATTGCCAGATATGAGCCGATATGTCTAAAAAAAATTATTTTCATTAAAAAAAGAAAAACCTGAACATATAAGCTTGGAAGCTGAAGAATCAGACATTTAAAATAGATTTCATTATCAAAGAGAGAAGTAAGGGAAGTTTGGAGGCAGAAAACAACCAGAGAACTAAAATATATTATATTTGAGTGCCAAATAATAAAAACTACAGGAGGCCAGGCAGAGGAGCCATTCCGTCAGTCAGGGCCACCTGCCCTTGACGGTAATCACCCAGGCACACTCGACGGAGCAAATGTCTCACATCAAGTCACAGAGGAAGGAGCTGAGCTCAAAGAAGTGAAAAATATTTATCAAGAAATATCAGGGAAGTGCTCCACTTACTGTCCAGATGTGAACTTCCCTGGAAGCAGCCCGACATCAGTGTTTTTGTGGTGGCCCCCGAGATTCCCACGCCCTGATACACACACCCCGAATGATCCTGGCGTGGGACTGTCAATAAGATGGGATGTCGCTTCTGTGACTAGGTTACATTATATGGCAAAGATGAAGGGCTTTCACAGACGTAATTAAGGTCCCAAATCATTTGAGTTTGAGATAATCAAAATTCCTGGTCTATGGCCTTGCCACCCTGAACACGCCCGATCTTGTCTGATCTCGGAAGCTAAGCGGGGTCGGGCCTGGTTAGTACTTGGATGAGAGACCACCTAGGAAGACCAGGTGCTGTGGGGGGTTGGGGGGAGCGG